CTTGAGTTCTTGCTACCTATAATTTATAATAACATTAGACGTCCACACCTTTAAGCTTTGATTTTAATGTGTAAAGGGAATTTTTGAATTAAGGGATTTTTTTTTTTTTTTTTTTTTTTTACAATGTCTGATTCAGGATTATTGTCTCCTGGTGGATTTCTTTTTGTTTGTTTGTTTTTGAGATGGCGTCTTGCTCTGTTGCCCAGGCTGGAATGCAGTGGCATGATCTTGGCTCACTGCAGCCTCCGCCTCCCAGGCTCAAGTGATTCTCCTGCCTCAGCCTCCCAAGTAGCTGGGACTACAGGTGTGTGGTACCACACCGGGATAATTTTTGCATTTTTGGTAGAAATGGAGTTTCACCATGTTGACCAGGCTAGTCTTGAACTCCTGACCTCAAGTGATCTGCCTGCCTTGGCCTCTCAAATAAATTGTTTTTTTTTTTTTTTTTTTTTAGAGAGCATTTGCTATAGTCCCTGTTTAGGGACCAGACACAGAATTCCCATCCAGGTCTTCCAGTATCCCTAGAATAGATTCAAACCAATGCACGGGACAATGTGTATATTTGAACTGCCATTCCCAACATTATTTTGGAATTCCTTTTGTGGAATTCTTTTTTTCAGAACCAATTTATGGGACATACAAAATCACTCTGCAGTCATTCTTCTAGCATCAGGTGGGAAAACATTTGGCTACAAGGAGCATAAAACCCACTGTTGTGGCTCAAACAAATAGGGGCAAATTCTTTTTTTATAACAAGAAAGCTAGAGGTAGCTAGTCTGGGGCTAGTGTAACTTTAATAATGTTCTTGGAGCGCTAGACTCACACTGTGCCCTGCTCTGCGCTCCTGCACTAACTTTCATCTTGCACCTGCAGCCTTGGGGTTGCAAGCTGGCTCTGCACCTCCACACACAATGTGGACTTTCTAGATGGGAAGAAGGGGGAAGGGCAATGGGCAAAAAAGACTCGCCAGCCAAGTCTGCCCCATTTCATCAGGATATGAAAATCTTTCCTAACTTTTCACGGAGTGCACCTCTGCATAAAGCTCATGAGTGAGAACTAACGCCTGAGCAGCCCTAGGTGGAAGGTGGCCAGGGAGGATGGACTTGTCTATCAAGGTATTTCCCAGTGTTTTTGTCTACCTTATTCACCACCAAACTAGGATCTCAAAGCCTCCTGACTTCTTTTGAAAATGAAAAGATTGAAAATTAGCCAGGCGTGGTAGCTCATGCTTATAATCCCAGTACATTGGGAGGCCAAGGTGGGAGGATTGCTTGAGGCCAAGGGGTTTAGTCCTGGGCAGCATAGCGAGACCCCGTCTCTGTATTTTAAAAACTAGCTGGGCATGGTGGTGCATGCCTGTAATCCCAGCAATTTGGGAGGCTGAGGTGGGAGGACTGCTTGAGCCCAGGAGGTCAGTGCTGCAATGAGCTGTGGTTGCACCACTGCATTCGTCTGGACAACAGAGTGAGACTTTGTCTCGAAACAAAACAAAATAAACAAAACCTATGTTCCAAGATCAAAGCTGTTTTTCCACTGGCAGGTCCCCAAACAAGTTTCTGAAATGTTCTGAATAACAGAGTAAATGTCCATCCTCCTGAGGACTCCGAAGGGAAGCACACTCATTTGGATGTATTCCTTTGAAAATGCATTCTTGTCATGACAATCCATTCGCACTTCATGCGGTAACTGGCAAGGATCCAAGCCTACACACCCACAGCGTCTCCTCGAGCCTCTGTGCTTGCTTGCAAGAGGTGGGTGGACCCTGTGAAATGTCAGGAGTGAGGCAGATGAAGAGAAAATGAAACTCTCCTCCAGCTGGACCACCTCGTTTGATGTCAGCAATGGAGGGACATTTTGTTACTGTGCCTTGAATTGTAATGTCTAGGGGATGCTCTGGGTGGACTGTCGGAAGAAGCTCAGACTGGGGGCCAGAACCTCCACATCAGAAGGGAGCCGGGACCACGCCCAGTAATAAGGGCTGTGTGGCTGTTCTGATCCCTTTGAGAAGCCACTTGCTTCAGAGATGTTGCAGAGCAGTCACCCCCTCCACTCCCCAGAGGACTGGGCTTCTGTGCTTGTCTTACCTTGTTTATCTCTCTGTCTGACGCTGGTGGAGGTGAAATCTGTCAGGTTCCGTGCAGATTCTTGTTGAATGCCACTTCCCCACAGACCTGGGAGGTCGGGGTGCAAATATATGCAAGATGCTGTTGGAGATTTGCAGAAAAGCAAAATATGATTCCTTGATGCATGTGGTCATCTGCTTATTTGTTTTTATTCATCAAACATCCGTTGAGCAAGAAGAGATCAGTGAGGGATGGGGGAGAGAGACAAACAGATGTGACCAGGTGGCCTTAGAACTTGCTGGGGAGGTGTGAGGAGGAGGGACGTGGTGCTGGTGAGACAGGCCGGGGTAGGGGTAAGGAAAGGTCTGCCAAGGAGTTGATGCATGAATGGAGTTTCAAGGCCAATCTGGGTGCAAATAGTGATCTGAGGCAGCTTATGATAACTCTGCAAGAGAAGCGTAAATAAGGTCTTTAAAATACATACCAAAAAAGAAGTGGCTTCTGGCTGGGGGGAAGGAGGCATCAGAGAGGGCTTCATGGAGAAGGGATAAGATTCAGCAAGAAGTTTGCAAGCAGAGGGAAGAAACAAGAAAAAACACATCAGTGAAAAAGACCAGGGTATGTTTTGTACATATCCGAGTTTGATTGGGAGATTACATTCATAGCAGGAATCTCATAGGAAAAGACTGGAGAAGTAGGTTGCAGTCATATTGCGAAGGATGCTGATGCCCTGTTAGGTTGTATTTCATTGGTGAGCAATGGAGGACAGTTGCAAGATTTCAAGCAGAGGAGTGACATGATCATAGAAGAAAACTGGGTTGAGAGGAGCTGCCTGGGAGGAGGAAACTGTGTTATTTTGCTCACGCTTTGGAAGTTGCCTTTTAATGAGAGATACTGCCCTGCTTCAGGCTTCTTTGGTGAGAAGCAACAGAACTCATGCTAGTCCATCCATATCAACTAGCTCTGTTTCCCTCAGCTAGCAGGACTAGTCACTCCTAGGAGCTCTGTTGCTATTAGGAGGATAGTGTTTATCTGTAAAGGAGATCCTGGTGAGAGTGAGGCAGGAAGCAGGTTGCCTCCTGGATCAGAAAAGCTCTTCAAAAAGCAACATGGCTAGGCCTGGTGGCTTTTGCTTGTAATCCCAGCACTTTGGGAGGCTGAGATGGGATGATTGCTTGAGTCTAGGAGTTTAAGACCAGCCTGGACAATATACCAAGACCCTGTCTCTATGAAAAAAATTAAAAAAATTGACTGGGCATGATGGCATGCACATGTAGTTCCAGTGAGTTGGGAGGCTGAGGTGGGAAGAATGCTTGAGACTAGGAAGTTGAGGCTGCAGCCAGCCATGACGGTGCTACTGCACTCCAGCCTGGGCAACAGAGCAAGACCCTGTCTCTTACAGGAAAAGAAAGTAAATGAGTGTGTGTGTGTGTGTGTGTGTGTGTGTGTGTGTGTGTGTGTGTGAGAGAGAGGGAGAGAGAGAGAGAGAGAGAGAGAGAGAGCGCGAGCGCGAGGGAGAGGGATTAATTAATTTGGGGTCAGATCATGAACCTCTTTGTTGGGAAAGATCCAGGCAGACAGAGGCCAGGGCTTTCCAGGATGAGCTGGTAAAGGAGCAATTCTGAGTGATGGTGGAGATGAAGGCTCCTCAGATGTGGGTTCCTGGCTTACTGCTTGCTCAGGCAACGGGTTTTCTGAGAAAATGTGTTCACACCTAGAATATGTATGTAGCTCCGACCACAGTGTTAAAAGAAAACTTAGAGACAAGATCCACAGATCATCTCTAAAAGGTTGAAGGGCCTTCCATGTGAACACACATTGAAAAGACTCAGATCTTCTGCATGGGAAAGATAAAACGGAGATGCACAGGCAGGATTTTGGAGCTGTTTGAATGGAACAAATAAGAGAAACAGGGACTTGTTCACCAAATCGTAGACTCCTGGAGCTAGGGATCTGCGGTGGAGCTGGAAAGAAGCAGTACCAGGCCAGAAAGATGCAATAGCCTTTCGCACTGAGACCTCAGCGGTTGGTGTGGAATAAGCAAATAGACAGAGGTGAGCAAAGTTACATCACTTCCAAGATGATAGATTCGCCATAGGATGCTAAGATAGGCAGTGGCGCCTGGGGCCTGTGCCGCTTTTGAAGTTGACACAGCAAGGGACAACGATGCCTCCCAGGGAAGCGCCACTCAGCGGCATCAGTGTGGGAGGTCCCAACTTGCACAGAAAGGGGTTTTCTGTTTTCTTCTGTATTTCCTTGAATCTCCAATGTGGCCAACACCAAACCCCGAGATTTTTAACCTCTCTTGACTTTTATTTCTTCTGCCTCAAATTATGATGATTTAATGCTAATCAATATCTCAAGGGAGCTTTAAGCCATGAGGCACCAAGGCTTTCATGGTGAACTGTGAAACAAGGAGGGCAATACTGTAAACAGAGCATGCAGAGCCAGCTCTCCATTATCCAAGGTCAGGAGGGGCAGAGAACACACACACACATACACACACACACACACACACACACACTTACATGTATACATCAAAGATTGGATAAACAGTTTCAATGTTTCCCTCAACCAAATTAATCAGAACTGCTAATAAGGGACCAAAGGGACTAATTTTCTTTCTTTTTCTTTTTTTCTTTTCATTTCCACTCCACTGGCTAAGTATATAGGAGCCAGGAAGTGGCCAGCATGTGGTGGTGGGCGGGGGACAGCCATAGGGAGGGGCAGAGGATCGACTCCAGAGTAAACACATCCCAGGGAGGCAGGGGAAGCTGCTGGCTACAAGTGCGTTTCCAGCACCAGAGGATGAGACTCTACCTGACTTAGAAGTGAATGGGGTGACGTGGACTCTGGGTTGAGTGGGACAGGGTCAGGGAAAGCAGGGCCCCTGCAGGCCGGGCCTGACCAATGTGTGTCCTCTGTAACACTGTGCAGGTGACTGCTGGCTTCTGGCCGCCATTGCCTCCCTGACCTTGAATGAAGAGCTGCTTTACCGGGTGGTCCCCAGGGACCAGAACTTCCAGGAGAACTATGCGGGAATCTTTCATTTTCAGGTACTGTGCTCTGCTCAGGGCCTTTGTCGCCGCTTTCCGTACTCAGGCCCCACTGCAGATCCACTGCAACAGACACTCTGGGTATGGGGCACAGTGACCTATGTCTTAACAATCCTCCAGGTGACTCTGATGCACACTTCAGTCTGAGAACCTCCGCTTTAATGCGTCCACCCGGACATCCACACATCCATCCCCTTGCCAGCTCCCCTAGGCCACGTGGCCTTGAGGACAGCATTGTGCACGGAGGGTCAGGAAGTGTGGGTCTCAGTCACTTCCTGCTGCCAGTGGGTGGTGCTGGGCCAGTTCTCTGATGCACAAACGCAGACCCTGGAGTAGATGTCCCCAGGTTCATCTGGCATCTGCTGTGTGTACAGATAAGGGAGACACAGGTCCCGCTCCTATGGAGCCAAGACTCAAACAATGATGGCACAGAGTCCCCGCGTGCAGCCCTTGGGGAGACTCCCTTTACACATCTGCTTATTCATGTGACCGGCCGCTGTGTCTCCCCTCCCCAGTTCTGGCAGTATGGAGAGTGGGTGGAGGTGGTCATTGATGACAGGCTGCCCACCAGGAACGGACAGCTGCTCTTCCTCCACTCGGAACAAGGCAATGAATTCTGGAGTGCCCTGCTGGAGAAAGCCTATGCCAAGTAAGTGGAGCAGCAGGAGCTGGGAGACACCAGAGCCTCCCTCAAAGCTCTCACCTGTCCCCGCCACATCCGCTTCACACCCCAAACTCAGGACGTCAGGGCCAAGTCTTTCCCAGCATCCAGACCCCCATGAGCTGTGGAGAGAGATCATTTTTCAGTAACTCAGAGAAACAGAAATCTGGGTGGGGAGTTTATCAGCTCAGCTCTGCCCTGGGTAAATATGTGTGTTGGTGGGGGTGGGGTGGGTGAGCCTCCCTGCCCCTCTGGGCCTGAGCTTTTCCTCTTTTAAATCCCAAGGTAGGTTCCTAGGGCAATGTAAATGTTTAAAAGAATGATGCATAATAATAATAATAAAAATGTACTAGCTACCAAACTCAACAAAGAGTCTGTTCTTTCCTCAGGAGGTCTTCTCACTGGTGTTTGATGTTCAAAACCTTCTTTGGGTTGTTTTTTTTTTTTTTTTTTTGAGATGGAGTCTCACTCTGTCACCAGGCTGGAGTGCAGTGGTACAATCTCAGCTCACTGCAACCTCTGCCTCCCGGGTTCAAGCGATTCTCCTGCCTCAGCCTCCTGAGTAGCTGGGACTACAGGATCATGCCATCATGCTGGGCTAATTTTTGTATTTTTAGTAGAGAAGGGGTTTCACCATGTTGGCCAGGATGGTCTCGATCTCTTGACCTTATGATCCTCCCACCTTGGCCTCCCAAAGTGCTGGGATTACAGGCGTGAGCCACCGTGACTGGCCTGGGGGTTCTTTTAATTACTTTTGTTTATTGATACCCTGTTCTGAAACCCAGTTCCTTTCCAGTCCTGTTTCCCAGCAAGCCTCAGTAGATCCCTTTCAGCCTTGAGGGAAAGTTCTCCTCCTCCCCATCCGTGCCCCCAGCCCCAGAAACCCAAGCAGATGGGGTCGGTCCTGGAGGGGTTGTCCTTGGCTTTGTAAAGGAGCGGGTGACTGGAGAGAGGTTGGCTAAGGTCAGTTCCAAGTGAAACACTGAGTTGGCCACATGAAACAGTGGCCTCAGCACCTTCCTGGCCCATAGGCAAACTGGGCAAAGAGCCCTCCTTTCTCTTCCAGATCACAGTACGTCCTAGCACTGTCCCTGTCCCCAACCCCCATGTCTCCTTACTGAGGGTGCTAATGGTGCATGTGTTCTTTTTCCAATAGGCTCAATGGTTGTTATGAGGCTCTTGCTGGAGGTTCCACAGTGGAGGGGTTTGAGGACTTCACAGGTGGCATCTCTGAGTTTTATGACCTGAAGAAGCCACCGGCCAATCTGTATCAGATCATCCGGAAGGCCCTCTGTGCAGGGTCTCTGCTGGGCTGCTCCATTGATGTGAGCCACGTGGCTTCTGCGCTGCCTCTTTCCTTGCCACTGCCACCCCTTGTATGGTAGGGAAGGAATGAGACAGGGGAGAGAGGCCTAGGAAGGCTTTGGGTCAGAGCAGAGTCTAGGTCTGTAGGGGCTGGTGAAGACCTAACTAATGGGTAGGAAACAGGGTTAGTTGCATTGCAGGAGCCCCAATTTCCCTCCTGCTGTTAGAGCCCTTCAGCTCTGCTGGAATGGCCCTAGGAACATAGCCTAGGATCCCTGGGTCCTCGGCCTCACATTTGCTACCTCCTTTTTGCTAAATAACCTTGAGGTTTTGGAAAACAAATGTGATGACTGATGACACCTGATGGATCTTGAGATCCCTGAAGAAAAGAGAAGAAGTTCTGAAACCAGAGGCTGTGGCCGAACAGGAGGCTGAGCTGTGTGCATTTCCAAGGTGGCTGTGGAAACCAGAGGCTGGAGGCCCCCAGCCCTGAGGCCCTGTCGCCACGTCAGGCTCCTGTGGCCAGCTGCCCTCCGGCTGCTCTGTCTTCCTCTCTTGTCCTTACCTGGTGATTTTAGAAATGCAAACCACAAAGTGAGAAGATTCTCCCTTTCTCCTCTCTCTGCAAACCCCAGCAGGAGACATGTGTTGTTGGTGGAGGGATGGTGTGGGGCATGGGGGAGGGGTGCTGGGGAAATGGGAAAGATCATAAGGAGCTGCTCAGGGAGAACCTTGGAGGACTGGGGCCCGTCCAGAACCGGCAGCGTGGAGAATTAGTCTTCTTCAGGCAGCCAGGGGCACTCTCAGAGAATAAATGACTTCCCAGTTTCTTGGTGGCATTTTGAAGGCTGGTAACTTGTCTTCCAGGCTTGGCAGGCACCCACACTGGCCTGGAACTGCAGGCCTAATTAAAGAGGGAGTCTGGATGGAGGTGTCTCTATTTACCTGAGGTTCATTGCCATGCCTGCACCCCCTGTGGCTGTGAAGTATGTCCTTGGAAAGCATTCCACGGACAGCCCCTAAGAGGTCAGGGTCAGCCACTCTGAGTAGACTTTCTCCTCTACCCAGGTCTCCAGTGCAGCTGAAGCAGAAGCCATCACCAGCCAGAAGTTGGTTAAGAGTCACGCGTACTCTGTCACTGGAGTCGAAGAGGTAAAATTGGGCAGGAGGAAGGGGAAGGTAACGTGATAATATTTCCATGAATCCAAGCCATCTTGGCAGGAGGAAAGAGGTGATTAATACTAGAAGGTTTGGAATTGGCTTTTGAGCTTCACCACCATGTTGGGGTGCACTCTCTGCCAGCATAGAACCCCTGACACCACAGATGTGCATTAGCTCTTGCTCATTCGAACAGCTCTTCGGGCCAGGTGCAGTGGCTCATGCCCGTAATCCCAGTACTTTGGGAGGCCGAGGTGGGAAGATTAATTGAGGCCAGGAGTTCAAGACCATTCCTGGGCAACATAGTAAGACATCGCTACAAAAAAATTTTTTTCGAAAGAAGGAAAAACAACAACAAAAAAAGAAGGGCTCTTCTGACTCATCCTCACTTGAAGATGGACAACATAACCTCTCTGAGCTTTTGCTCAATAGGTTCTAACTAAATGCAAGCCCTCTTCTTAGATGAGGCCAGGAAAACTGTAGAGATTGTCAGTTAGATTCTGCAGACATTCCAAAAAATATGTTTGTATGGGCAAAACAGTGGGAACTCACAGAATTCCAAAAAGGGAAAGGGGGCAGTAGTCACAACTTTTTGGGTAGGGTATAGTAATGGAAGGACATGCAAGTATTCCTCACTCTCCAACCCATGGAGAAAACATGGGCTATACTATTCATTATTTTTATTTCCTGCATTATGTCAGCTTTCAAAAAGGATTTTAGGTGAATTACAATTATTTTATTTTTATTTTATTATTTATTTATTTATTTATTTAGAGACAGGGTCTTGCTCCATTGCCCAGGCTGGACTGCAGTTACATGATGTTGGCACATGGCCACCTCGACCTCCTAGGCTCAAGTGATCCTCCTGCTTCAGCCTCCCGAGTGGCTGGGACTATAGGCAAGCGCCATCATGTCTGGCTAATTATTTATTTATTTTTTAATTTTCGTAGAGATAGAGTCTCTCTATGTTGCCCAGGCTGGTCTTGAACTCCTGGGCTCAAGCTGCCCTCCTGCCTTGGCCTCCCAAAGTGCTGAAATTACAGGTGTGAGCCACCCTGCCCAATTTTACCATTCAAAGAACAGACACAATAAAACCATACAACTCTGGTAAAATACATCAGTCCAGGCTGAAGACAGTGCTATAATTGAGAAATTAATTTTGCTTTGGGTTTCCCAAAGGCCAAGGCAGAAAGTGAAATGCAATGAATGTCCCACCTCTTGTTCTTTATTCAAGTGAAATAGGCCAGGTATGGTAGTGCATGCCTGTAGACCCAGCGACGTAGGAGGATGAGGTGGGAGGGTTGCTTGAGCCCGGAAGGTTGAGCCTGCAGTGATTGCACTGCTTCACTCCCGCCTAAGCTGCAGAGAGAGGCCCTGTCTCATAAATAAATACATAAATCAATAGAGTTAAATGAAATAGATGTTCATAACAGGTGTTTGTGTTTCATAAATATACTATTTTTTTTTTTTGAGACAGTCTCACTGTCGTTAGCCTGGAGTGCAGTGGCATGCAACCTTCAGCTCCCTGGTTCAAACTGCCCCTGCCTCAGTTTCCCGAGTAGCTGGGATTACAGGCATGAGCCACCACAACCAGCTAATTTTTTTGTATTTTTAGTAGAGATGGGGTTTCACCTTGTTGGCCAGGTTGGTCTCCATCTCCTGACCTCTCAATCTGTCCGCCTTGGGCTCCCAAAGTGCTGGGATTACAGGCCTGAGCCACTGCGTCTGACCCAAATATGCTCTTTAATGAAGTTAATCTCATAAATGGGAATTGAACATATATATGTAAACATTGGGCGAGGCGAGTTGGGGAATACACAGGAAATGAAGGCAATGAAGACCTAACAGTCTACCCAGTTCATGTGTGCATGTGTGAATGTAAGTGTTTGTGCAGGGGTGCAAGGGGCTTATACTTGTGTGTTCAATAAATACGGGAAAGTGGTATATGTGGATTTAGGGGTATGGGCTTTGGAGACAGACTGCCTGCGTTCCCCGCCTGCATTCACCACTTACTAACTAGATAATTATGGATAACATAACTTTTCTAAGTCTCAGATTTTTGAGCTATGAAATGAAGATAGCTCTGTATCTTAGAATTGCCGTGAGAGTTAAGTGAGGCAATAACACATCTTAAACACTTAGCACAAGACCTCGTCTATAGTGCCTGCTCAATAAATGTTAACTGCCGTGCTTTGGTGTTTGTTTGGAGGGCATTTTTTTATCCTTAGATCTCATGTATTAAGAGCTTAGTCAATCTTAGTCAACTATAAAAATCTAAATCCGAGTTAAAGCAGACATAAACCTGTTTTGGGGCTAGACTCACTCTTCATTTATTCAAACAAATTATGAAAAATAGAGCACTTGGCCAAAGCCTGAAAAGATGTGTTAAAGGAAAATAAAAATGTGGTCCTTTAGGGACGTTTGAAAACTTTAATGCAGATCCTCTCAGGTGCAGACATAGGTGCAAGGCAACTGGAACATAGTGCTTCAGCCACTTTTCTGTGTATGGAATTTGCAGGTGGATTTCCAGGGCTGTCCAGAGAAGCTGATCAGACTCAGGAATCCATGGGGTGAAGTGGAGTGGTCAGGAGCCTGGAGCGACGAGTAGGTTCTTTCCCCGCTTCTCCAATCCTATCTTCCTCTGCGGAAGGGTGTTGTGTAAAGCACACGGTAATGAGATCGATGTCACAGTGAGTTCAGCAGCACGTCCTGTCTGCAAATCACATAGCGTGTTCAGAAAAGAGTATTACATGCATCCAGGCTGGGAAAAGCAAAATAAAAACCACTGGGCTGTAGGCTTCTATTCTGGCTTTCTGCTTTGGCATTTGAAAGTTTGGCAGTTCTGTCGAATTTTGCTTCGTGCTGAAAGGTTTTTGTGTTTTCTACCCACCACACTGTGCTGGTCCAAAGGTCAAATCGATCATTCACAGTCTGTTTCTTTCCACTCCACAAACACTGGACACTCTGACAAAGGCCAAACCCCTCAGCACCAAGAAGAAACAAGGATGCTGAGAAAATGAAATTTGACCCTAGGAGCCCTAGGCCCCGGCAGCAGTGATGAATGAGGCAGCTGCGCTCGCTCATGCCCTGGGCAGGTTTGATCATTGACTGGAGAGACTCCTCTCAGGCAGGTCTCTCTGCTGATGAGGGGAAGCTGGTCAGAGGTGGTGATGTCCCAGGACAGCTGTGCCCTGGAATCCATGTCCGCATGGTGCAGGAGGATGGAAAGCATGGGATGGTTTCTGTCCAGTGAGCACAGCTGGCTTGGGGGAGGCAGGCTAGTGTTGTGGAGGACTTAGAATTAGCCAGTCTCGGCCAGGTATGGTGGCTCACACCTGTAATCCTAGCACTTTGGGATGCTGAGGTGGATGGATCAGTTGAGGTCAGGAGTTCGAGACCAGCCTGGCCAACATGGTGAAACCCCGTCTCTACTAAAAGTACAAAATTAGCTGGAAATTGCTTGAACCTGGGAGGTGGAGGTTGCAGTGAGCCAAGATTGTGCCACTGCATTCCAGCCTAGGTAACAGAGCAAGACTTTGTCTCAAAATAATATAATAATAATAATAATAATAAGAAGAAGCAGCAGCCAGTCTCGTGGACAAAGAACCACCAGAAATGAAAATGGTAACAATAATGCCTCTTCCAATACATTCTTAATCCTTGAGTGCTGTCGGTACTCTGTGATGCCACCAGGGCTTTCGAAGGGGTCGTTGCCACATTTAAACATAGCATCATGACGCTCATGACTGCACAGAGCTGCAGTAACTCCCTTCAGGGTTGTGTCATGAAGAAACACGTGTCTCTAGGGCCACGCATGAGCCTCCTGTAGGAAGGATTTTTCATTCTTACCAGCAGCCATTTACCGAGCTATTCAAAGGGCTTGTTTGACTTTCTCTCCTTCGCCTGAGCACCCGCTCTTTAGCAGGTGGGAGGTGGTGACTGTCAAGCTGGAGACGCAGCCTGGGATATTTATATATATCAGCTGTTGGAGAAAGAGGATGCTGAATCTCTAAGGCGACACCCCTAAGCTCAGCCCAGTGATTAGTGAGATTTTACTTAAAAAAAAAAAACCAAAAGTTAAAAAAGAAAAAAAAAAAACAATTAGAATAATAGGTCAGATCTAGAATTCTCCAACTCCTGCCCTAATCTTTGTTTATAACAGGCACATTCTGAGATGTGGTTTTAATCAAACTAATGTTTCAATGAATTGAAGAGGCCCTGGGAACTCTCCTGCTGAGTCCTGAGTTCTTAAAGCCTAGCTTGGAGGGAGAGGCTGGGCTGGAGTGTGCCCCGGCTCTTATGCTGGGGAGAGAAGGTGCTTAGGTTTTGCTGAAGATATTCAGGGCAGCATTTTTTTTTAAAGATGGATCTTGATACTGCTCTGTTACTTGGACATCACATACATATTTCAGGAAAGCGTAACTTTGTAAAGGTCAGGAAGCTGGAGATGGAATTTGAACAATGTGCATGGATATTGCCCTAGAAAGGCCACCAGCAGGAGGTCTCACAGGGTGATGTTACTTCAGGGAAATTGCTGTCAAACTGGGCTGGATTCTCGTTCTTGCAGGTGTGAGGAAGTGAACCACGTCTGTGTACCCAGAGCTGGTTAGATTCTGTCAGTATATTCAACCCAGACTGCTGGATAAGCCAGAGGGACAAGTGACTAATAGGTACTGAGGGCATGCCTTTCTTGTGACAAGAACTCATCCACGTCCTCTCCTGGGCCTCCCCGTTCCTGGAACAGGGGCCTGGGAGTCTTAATTAGAAATGTGACATTCGCCTAGAGAGTAAAAATTAGAGCATAATGTTTCAGTCATAATGTTCACGTCGCATGTTCAAGGCCACCCTGCTAGTGCCCATGGAGTCCGTGTCCCGGGTCTGTCTGTGTCCCTTCCCCAGGCAGTGTGCTCGCCCACACTTCGCACCCTGCCTTTCTCTCTGCCAGCCGTGCTTTTGCTATTCTGTTTCTGGCTCTTAGGGGAAGCTTAGCTTCAGTAAACAGCTTGCCCTGTGTGTAGAACCTCTCAGGAGTGACCACCTCTGCTTGTTTGCCCCTCAGTGCACCAGAATGGAATCACATAGACCCCCGGCAGAAGGAAGAGCTGGAAAAGAAAGTGGAGGACGGCGAATTCTGGTGAGAAAGTTTTCTGCTCAAGTGCTGTGCCCTTGGTAATGGGTCCCTTTTCAGTTCTGATGTGGGTGCAGCCAGTCTCTAGGTCTTCCAGGAGGGTGACATGGTTCCTGACCATGGTGAATTCATTCTTCTCCTCCTTTTGTCCTGGTATAATTCCACCTCTATATCAGCACGTCTAAAGCACTGAATTCATGGTATCTGGGCCCTCAACCTGGCTTAGCTATCAGCCTGTCTTTCTCAGTTCTATGATCTTTCCAGTGAACCAAGAGCACTGTTTCTATCCCTTTAAGCTAACATTTACCCACCATCAATATGGGATAACTTTCTTTGCTAGTGAGCTAAGGAAGATAATAAGGATATTCCTTGAATATGGTACGGCTTAGCTGGACATCACTCAGAATTAAACAGAAAGAAACCTCTTGTGAGCTTAGAGTGAACCCAATCTAAAGGCAGAGGCTTTGTTCAGATGACCTCCTGGGGTCTTTTGCAGTTTACAGTTCAGATGCTTTGCTTGCTTGGTGAGATATGTGAGGGGGGCTCCCTGTAAGAACCAAGAAGCTAGCAATAGTGATGACTGTGGACTGTTGTCTCTGCATATTTGTATCAGTGGGCTGTAGAAAAGATCAAGCTAGCCCACGGTCCCTAGGGCCGGTGCCACTGCCACGGCTCCTTCCCGTGCCAGGTATGCGTGCCTTCAATCACCTTTCCAGCCCAGCCCTCTTCACAGAGAGCCCTCTGGTGCCTTTGCCCCCAGGATGTCATTTTCAGATTTCTTGAGGCAATTCTCTCGGTTGGAGATCTGCAACCTGTCCCCGGACTCTCTGAGCAGTGAGGAGGTGCACAAATGGAGCCTGGTCCTGTTCAATGGCCGTTGGACCCGGGGCTCCACAGCCGGGGGCTGCCAGAACTACCCAGGTAAGGTGAACGGCTGTCTTGGCCCAACCTCCTCCAGCTTATCCTCCTTGAGCTGGGTCACTTTATATATTTTTTTGTTGGTATTTTATGTGTCTATTTTGAGATAGGGCCTTGCTCTGTTGCCCAGGTTGGAGTATAGTGGTGCGATCTCTGCTCACTGCAACCTCCACCTTCTGGGCTCAAGTGACCCTCCCACCTCAGCCTCCTAAGTAGCTGGGACCACAGGCACATGCCACCATGCCTGGCTAATTAAAACAAATTTTTTTTGTAGAGACAGGATCTCACCATGTTGCCCAGGCTGGTCTCTAACTCCTAGGCTCAAGTGATCTACTCACCTTGGCCTCCCAATGTTCTGGGATTACTGTTGTAAGCCGCTGTGTCCGGCCCTATATGTTCATCTCTGGAGCCTTTGGACTTTGTTCTTTGACTCCTGGGACCCCCTGGAGGCCCTGCTTCTCCCTGGGGCTTGGAGGCCAGGGTTGCGAGGGTGGGCGGTAGCCCTGCAGCTGCTCAGCTGAGGCCTGAACGGTGTGTTCAAACCATCCCTGCTTCACCACTCCCCCTGCCCTAAGGACATGCTTACCACACTAACCCCGCTCTTGGCACCTCACGCTAAGGCCTCCTGTTCTTCCCTTGGGCTTTCACCCCTTCCTCCCTGCTCGCCCTACCCAGTTGGCTAACAGTCATCCCGCTGAGCCCTGGGACAGAGTGGCTGATGGTGCACTAGGGGAGCACAGGGACAACATCTGCCTTTTCAATAGACTAATAGACTGCATCCATGAGATCTGCTGTTTCACTGTGCATTTGTGCCTAAGTTGGCGGTGGAGGAGCAAAGCCAGCGTGGGCCGTGATGGCCACTCACAGGGCATGCATGTCACGGGGACTCAGTCCCTGGTGGAGATAGTCTGGCGTAAAGCATGGCCTCTGCACTAACTTCGGGTCCTCATCTGATGAAAGGTGGGAAGCTTTCCTGGCTCGCAGAAGATCACTAATGTGTCCCTGTGTAGGCTCCTCCTAGGATGAATCAGCTGAGGCAGCACCTGATGAAGAAACTCGGGAAAACTGCCCCACATCTCTAAGGAGAAATGAAGAAAAGCAAAACCTGCTCTCTCTACTTTTCACCTCCCGCTCCCCATGCTCCCTGCCTGGTTTGCTGTTGATGTGTTGATTGACTTTAGACTGTAAGCATATGGGGCAGGGCCAGTCACTTCTCATGACAGAGCTCACTGCAGGGCTGTGCTCACTGCTGGGGAAGCAGCATTAGAGTAAAACCCCACCTGGGTGCAGTGCTGGGTCTTGACAAGTTCTCTCTTCTTCCATCGCCCATCCAACCCAAAGTTCTCAGTTCAGGCAGCTGTGACCAGAGTCCGGATCAGAGAGGAAGGAGGGGGGTTCACATCCTGCCCTCATTGCTTGATTTGACATCTGTGAGACCCTGGGAAGGGTGTTTCCCTCTTCTGAGCTTCAGTTTCCTAATCCTCCAGATGGGGTTCGACCTCCCAACCTTACCGGGTCACAGTGAGCACTGGAACACAGAGTGTGTAGAGAAGCACTTTGTGAACTGTGTAGCATTATATAAATGGGATGTATTTTTTTTATGGCCCATTCTCTTCCTCCAGTACTGTTAAGGAGTAAACAAAAAGTGTAGGGATTGCAGTAATGCTGCATTTGGGAGAAATTAAAATATGCTCACCATTAGCAAGCTCTTAGAAAATGTGTAGGAAATTTGCATGGATCATTTTGGGAGCTCAGAACTGTAGGGGGTACCCAAGGTATCTGCATGCACCAAATCACAATCCCATCTGTGCCACCAAGTAGCTGTCAGGAAGAGATGGATTGTTCCTGCCCTTTGGTAATGATGGAAATATAGGCGATTACAGATTTTTTTCTGTCTCCTCTGGAATCTACAGATATCTGGCCTTAAAATCCGTGCATGTGTGCCCTAAAACAAAAACAAAAACTGGAAGTGGGGATTCTGGGAGGGTGGAATTGAGTGAATAATCCTACTGTAAAGACAAATGACCATCAATGGCTCTTTGTCACCTGTGAATGCCTTGTAATTTTTCAAGTTAGATTCTCCTTCAAAGGCCATGAGAAAAAGTCCCACGCCCTTCCACTTCTTTTTTCCTCCAAGACACAACATTATTGAAATTCTTGAGGCCCTAATGTGAAGACACCTGTCAGGAATGTCTTCTGCAATTATACGCTGCCACTGGACTCTGCCATAGACTTGCTGCGTGTCCTTGGATGATCGTTTTGACCTCTCTGTGTCTTGGCTTGTGTAGTTACTATTATGAGAGATTTTTTAAAAGCCATCTTTGAAATGAAGGGTTTTTTTTCAATAGTCATAGGTGGTGTAGCAGGACTGCTTCTTAATTGCCAATTGTAATTCCTCATGCATTATTAAATGACTTTCTCTTGAAGGAAGTGTGTCTCGTCAGTGGACTACAACACTGAAGCCATCCTGTGAGGCCCCTGGGGTGATGGACAGCAGATTAGTTCTCGGGTACCGCAGGCTGTGCTCTGCAGCTGGGGCCCTCTCAGAGGGAGAACAGGTGTCAATCAGAAGGCAAGAGCAGGTGTCTTTATAGTGTCAGGCAGAGACCTCCTTGGTATCTAGTCTCTTCTGGGACTTCCTCCTCTTCTGTCCTGGGGACATGCTTTTTACCCAGAGATCTTCCTTCCTCCAGAAGGTGGGTTTGCCTTCACAGGTCAAGTGCTGAGAGCAAGGTGATGTTAAGTCTTTCCCCAGGAAGTCTTGGAGGCAGTGCTGCCCAATGTAGCCCTTGGATCAGGGGATCCTGAATATTAATCCTACTGTAAAGAAAAGTGATCAGTCAAGCACTTCTGGGCTCCTGGTTGATCAAATGGACAAGGACACATTTCCAAAGGCGATGGGATATGTCTGTGTGTGTCTGGATGCATAGGGGAGGTGGGAGGAAATGCCTGAACACCTGGCAAAGAACACGTTCTGAGCCCTGCCTACTAGGCAGAGTTTGGACAGAGCCGCGCATTCATTAGGATGATCAAGGTTCTTCCTTTTACTTTATTCTTCTTCATCTCCTCACCTGCTGCATGGGGAACCACCATTACCTGGGTGACTTCCAGCCACTTACTGGACCAATCCCCAGTTCAAAATCCATTTGGATGAAGTGGATGAGGACCAGGAGGAGAGCGTCGGTGAACCCTGCTGTACCGTGTTGTTGGGTCTGATGCAGAAAAATCGCAGGCGACAGAAGAGGATGGGACAGGGCATGCTTAGCATTGGCTATGCCGTCTACGAGGTACTGCTGGGCTGGGTTTGTCCCTCATTACATGCTTGATGTTTTGGGGCTGGATATCTGATCTTGGCCAGTCATCACAGCACATTTTTCCTATTGCTTTAGTATTTCTAATCGAGAAGTGTTCTTGCTCCCCTATATACCTCTTCCAATGGCCTTACTGAGGCCTGAATTCCACAATTAGAAATTCATTCCTATGGCTTAAGTCTCTGCTGTTAACACTGAGATGTGTAATACCTTAACCTTTGCCTGTACATATGTTCATTAGACTCTTTTCCAAGTACAGGCTTCCCCAGAGACAAGAGTCAAGAACATGGGGGCATAAGGCACTTGAGGTGACACGAGGAGGAGGAGGGGCATCACTGAATCAGGGAAGGAGGCTGGATATGGAAGCCAAAGACAACTCTTCCCTGGGAGGCCTTGAGACACTTGGAGCACACAGGGCCTGAGCTGGGGTGATGGAAACCACGTGCCTGCTTTCAGTTCTGGTGTTTCTGGACTCAGGAGCACAGCCGGCTCTGGGCTCACGCTGCAGTCCCTGGCTCAATGTGCCAGTTTGCCTGGCAGCCACCCCTCTACAGACTTAACAGCCTCACAGATAGGTTAAAGCAAGACCTTTGTGTCTTAACAAGTCTAGCCAGAAACAAATAGAAATTCACTTTTTTATACAGGCAAAGACTCCTTATAACAAATTCCAGAGGGGCTCATGGTGATTGTTTTTAAACCAATTTTGTTAAAAGAATTTCTTAGGAAAAATGCAATTCTAATCGGGAAGACCAAGAGCTGGCTAGAGGCCCAATATCTCAGTATAAATTAATGTATGTAAAAAATATTGTAATAAGAAACCAGTAAGGAAATAGTGCAATTTTCAAGATCCTATCCATAACCACCCCCCCATATATTTCTCATATTCTGGAACTTAGGGCTCTAGAGTTTAGGGTGTATGTGTGTATGCCTGCACATGCACGAGCATGCGAGTATATTTTATGCTGAAGAATGGGTGTTGGAAAATAATTGCTAATTGATGGCAGGTGAAAGGAATTGCAAATAAATAAGCTCCCATTCTACTCCAGCTTAGGTCTTTCATCTCCACCTAGAATCTAAGTAGCACAAAGCCAGACTCTCTTTGCAGAGCCAAAAATCTGATTTGGCACTTAGTATATGCACATGAATTCAACAAACTTTAATGAGCACCTATTATGTGCCGGATGCTGTGCTGAAAGTTGAGGACATGGTGGAATATACTGTCCTCGAGGTGCTCACAATCTGAAGTGGAAAGTCAGATGCACAGTCAACTGGCAAAAGAGAAAGTCAGATTTGCTGTAATGGGGACCAGACACAATTGGGTTGGGGTCACCTCAGCTTCCTGGAGGAGGAGATTTTGATGGGAACTTTGAAAGATGAGCTGGATTTCAAGGGAGAGCATTCCAGCCAGGAGGACATTTCTTGAGAGCTTGAAAGTTAAGTGGTGGTTTTGGAGAGTTGATAGTAGGTGGGCATGACTACTGAGTGGGCTCCTCAGTCCTTCATCCATCAGTCCAACTGTTTTTTTTTTTTAAGTTTTTTGAGATGGAGTCTCACTGTGTCCCCCAGGCTAGAGTGCAGTGGTGTGATTTTGGCTCACTGAAACCTCCATCTCCTGGGTTCAAGCGATTCTCCTGCCTCAGCCTCTTGAGTAGCTGGGATTACAGGTGTGCGCCACCACGTCCGGCTAATTTTTGCATTGCTGGCCAGGCTGGTCTCAAACTCCTGATCTCAGGTGATCTGTCCGCCTTGGCCTCCCAAAGTGCTGGGATTATAGGCATGAGCCACTGGACCCAGCCAGGCCTACATTATATAACCAGACCAACAAAGCATTCTTTCAAAAGGACTGAAATAGCTTTGTGTGGCATGACATTTGCACTCATAAATAATATATAAAGCATATCAGTTTTCAGTCATCAAATTACAGTTGGTTATAAAATATTCCAGTGTATGTGATCTGTGGTCCTTCTTCATATGGCCACAGGCATATAATTTAGAGCATGACATCCATAAGTGAAAGCAGCTTGAAAGTCAGGCGGAGAGGGTATCGGGAGTAGCTGGGCTTATAGGGAGTAGCTGGAGTTGCAGGGGTGGGTGCAATATTCTTATTGCTGTATCTCCCTCCTCTTGCTTTAAATGGAGTTTGGGTTGAAGTTGAAAAACTGCCACTCACTGAGAACAGTCAGGCTCCTCTAAAGGCTAAAGAGCCTCCTTGTCTGGCCTCCTCTCTCTCCCCTTTATCTTCCTGTGGTGATGACAGCTCCTGCAGGGCCAGCCTGTCATTTGCAGTCAGGATCCTGCATTTCAAAGATGACCATTTCTTTCCATCCACCCGTGGGCAGTGGCTAAGGCCTGCCCCCTTACCTTGCTGCTCTGGATTTGTACCACCAAGAGGCCCCACCTGCCTGGCTCAGTCCCTGCCGTGTGACCTTGGCAGGGTGGATCTGGAGCATATTAATGGCAGCGGAGGTGGTCGAGTGGTTTATGGAAAGATGGCCAACATGGTGAGGAAAGCCCTTGCCAGGGGCGTGTAAAGGCTGTGGGGCTGGGAGCCAAGAGGAAGATACTTGTGAGGCCTCTGCATGGGTGATTTTGGTTTTATACTCAAAATTAGAGGAGCAGCCGTGACCTTGGACTCTTCTACCTCTGGTGCCAATGACACATGAGGGCTCCTGAAGTGAGCCTGCCAGTGGCTCCAAATTTTCCCTAATATTGTCATTTCTCAGAGTTGTAGGCAGTTGGCCATAGACTTAAGCCACAAATAATGGCTATCCTGGTCTTCTGGCTAAAAGGGCCTATGTGGAAGGGACAAAGGATGGAAAGGGACAAAGTGGGGGGTTTGAATCCTTTTCTCGAGCCTGGCATAGGAGCCCCAGGCATGGGGAGGCTCTAACTCTGGATGTGAGAGCTACTGTCTTGTGGGAGTCAACACTTCCAGCTGCATATAGAGTCAGCTCAAGCTGGACTAGTGAAAAGTATGTACCAGCTCATGAGACCAAAGCAAGGGAAGGAGATGGATGCTTGGGACTCGGGACTTGGAGGCTGCCAGGATTCTTTCTCTCCACCTCTCCTCTCTAGTGCTGATGACATTGTGCTAGTCCAGATTTCTTCATTCCCTAATATCACTGGCATTAAGAAAGAAGCCCCTTCTGTTAGTTCCAATTCAGAAATCCCAGAGAAGTAAGTCTCTGGTGGGCTCAGCTTGGGTCACGTGCCTGTTCTCGGCCCATTTTACCATAGCCAAGGGCAGAATAAACTATGGCTTAGGTCGAGTGAGATTCCCCCAATCTGGTCAAGCTCTTGATCTGGGACGCCAGGTCCAGAAATCTCTGAGAAGAGATTAGCTCTCATTGAAACCCCAAGGCTATTACTCCTGAAGAATTTGAGATCTTGGTAGATTCTATAACTAGAAAAGTAAGAAAGAAGAACCTAGAAATCTGGTGGGCCCCCACCAGATTTCTAGGATCCTGTTTACAGGCGACCTTGACGTTCATCAATTATGTTCCAGTTTCAGAAATGTTGACTGGTTTCTCACTTTAGCACAAACATCTTCCTCAGTGGCCCGGGACTGCACAGTCTGTTTGCAAGGCATAGGGTGGGAGGAAAAGGAGCCGAAGGAGGACCTTGGAGCTCTCAGGTGACCTGCTCTTTTCTTCTGCCCCACAGGTTCCCAAGGAGGTATGTGAGCACTGACAGAGATTTCTTCCTTTGGTAAGAAACAGCTTGGCTGCCTTCAGGATGGGCAGCCAGCAGCATCTTTCCTGTGATAGAAGCTGGTTGTTCCACAGCTCTCACATGATCCAGTCATGAATCAAACCACACGAGTAGGCTGGTAGCTCTGAGAGTGGGTGAGGACCATCGCAAGTTCCATCTGTCAGGCCCTCATGGAAGGAACAGTGGTGACCTTTTCTCCCATGCCCCTGGTGGTCTGAACAATGCGATTCCAGTGGGCAGCCAGGCTTGAGAACCAGTGTTCTAACCGGGCTTCCTCCAGCTGGAGTCAGTTGCACTAATTATGTAGAGGTGTGTCCTCCCTACTGCAGCTTTTCCCCAGTTCTTCTGGGTTTTCAAGCTTGGCTGGCCATGAAGCATGTGCCAACAAAGCCCAGTTCATCAGCTCTAGTGTATGCCTTGGTCCAAGTCTGCAGACTGCTGGTCTACCTGCTCTTGGCTCACAAGTGCATGTTACTGATTACAGAGGGAACAGACAAGGAAGTGACTAATTTAGAGCAAATACCTCTTACTGATGCAGGACAGGTGAGCCCCCAAATTGGGGCTTAGCCTGGGAGGGTTCTTGGCTTCACCCAGGAAAAAATTCAAGGGCCAGCCAGTGGTATTTGACAGCAACTTTTATTGAAGTGGCAGTGTACAGCAGCAGCAGCAGAGGTCCTTGCAGAACAGGGCTACCTCATAGCCAGTGAGCCCAGAGTAGCCACTGAGAGGCAGTTCCACAGCCATATTCATACCAACTTTTAATTATATGCAAATTAGGGGGCAGATTATGCAGAAATTTCTAGAAAAAGAGTGTTAACATTTGGGTTGTCAGGTCGTTGCCATGGAAAAGGGCAGTAACATCTGGATGTTTCCATGGCAACAGTAAACTGATAGGGCACACCGGGGTGGGTATGTCTTATGGAGAGGTGCTTTCACCTCTTCCCTGTTTCCGCTAATGTTCCATCTGGTCCAGCGTCCTGCTGGGAGTTGAGTCCCACCTCCTACCTCATTACTACTAGAAAATAATTAAAACCAAAGCTGAGTTAACTCTGGGTGATGGTAGTTCCCATCAGAAATACCCTATTTATATGAGTGAGAGGTGACGTGCCACACAATGGAGCTTTCTCCAGCAGCAGCTCACAGTGCCCTCAATGTGTCACCCTAGATCCTGTGCTCTGCAAGTGCTGGGGGCCTTCAGGACAACAGTTGTCAAACTTAGAATGTGCTTCTGAATCCCCTAGAGGGCTTGTTAAAGCATAGATTTTTGGGCCCCACTCCTGGAGTTTCTGATTCTTTCTGTCTAGGGTGGGGCCTGAGAATTTGCATTCTGACAAGTTACACTGGGGTGCTCCTGCTGATCCTGACCCCGTACTGAGAACCACCCTTAGTTAAACCTGCCCAACCTCCATCCTGTCTCTTTGAGCTGAGTTATGTCAAGGGCAGATGTGGGGGCCAGGGACCTTGTGGTACTTGCTTACTTGGGGTGCCTGGTAGGACAGTCTTACCCAGATCATGCCTCAGTGTCCTCCAATTCCCACCCTGGCCTCCCAAACAGGACTTCTCTAAACTGATCCACCCCTGGATTCTTGCTGGAACTCAGTTTGCCCCTTTCCCAACCCAAAGCAAATTAGAGTTGCTTCCCTCCTTCACTTCTCCCAAGTGCCCTGTCTCCTGAGTGCCTCCTCCTGCCAGTGGCCTGTCTCCTTTCCTTGCTACCATCCGGGATGGCAAGAATGCCCTTTAACTCATGACATGCAGACCTTAGGCATGTCCTCTCTGGCCACATCTCCAGCATTCTCCTGCCCACAGTGTAAGCATTTTTAGGAAGAATCTCAAGGACTGTGGCCGCCCTGGTGGTGAGGTCAGTGCGGACTGCCCAGGCTGTATGTGGAGTCCTGGCTAGGGTAGTGGGAGCAGGTGACCTGCTTCCTTCTTTGCTTAGTAGATTTGTGGTCCAAAGAGGGTCTGATGACCATGACTGAACACTGTCCACTCTAGGGTAGACATTCCAGCTCCAGGTCACTCAGAAGTTACAGCCCTTGCAGCGTATCAGCACCTGGCCTCTGTCACAGGCATTTTGATGAAGATTGATCGTAAAGACACAGTGCTGTGGGAGGCTTAATTACAGCAATAATAATGTTGGCACCTGTGTTTTGGAAGCACTCTGTGGTCACTGATTAGCCCGTGTCATGCACCAACAGCCTCCCACCTCCCCACAACAAATAAGTGGGTCATGGCGAGCACTGTCACATGTCGAGGAGAGCCAAGGCCCTGGGGAGGCCAGGGAACCCCAGACTAGGCCTAGCTGTGGTCACCCCTTCTGCCTGCCTTTTTTAGAGCTGCCTCCCCAGCTCCCAGCCTGAACTTCCTAGTCTCTTTCAAAGCAGTTTTCCCAGACAGTCAAAGGTGAGCAAGTTTTTCTGGCAGCTTTTGCTTGAGGACTAGGATTTAAGCTCTTTTCTCCAGCCTTGGGCCTGTACCGGGAAGGCCAATGCCGCATTCCCAGGGACAGCAGCAGAATAAAAGCGCCTGTTGGATTCAAGGGGAAAATATCCAGAGAGAAGCTGAGCGCACACTAGAGACACTGCTGCTCAGCCTTCGTTTAACTGGGGAGGCCCAGAGGTCAAGGTCACACAGTCGAGATCAATGCCTCAAACAGGGCCTGGGGCCCAGAAGGCACTCAAAATACACTTGATGATTGACATACAGTGAGTTCACAACAGAATCGGTGGCCTCCTGATTCTTAGTGCAATGGCAAAAATCAATAATTCCTAAATCAGCATGATAAAGCTGAACTCTCGGGCTCTCATCTTCCAGGATTTAACAAGAAATTGACTCTGCCTGTTGTTTTATGCAGCTGGAGAGTCACACGGACACACATCTGGGCCGGGATTTCTTCCTTAGCCACCAGCCCTCAGCCCGCACCAGCACCTACGTCAACCTGCGGGAGGTCTCGGGCCGGGCCCGGCTGCCCCCTGGGGAGTACCTGGTGGTGCCATCCACTTTCGAGCCCTTCAAAGATGGCGAGTTCTGCTTGAGAGTGTTCTCGGAGAAGAAGGCCCAGGCCCTGTGCGTCCCCTTCCCTCCGTGGTGGGGAACGGTTGTCTGGGCCCATGACGGGAAATGGCCCCATGCAGGTGTAGGACCCACCCCAGCTCCCAGTTCATGTTCCCAGAAGAAATGTGTAAGACACCACAAGGCCAAAGGGCTCTTCACTGGGTGTCCCCCTCCTACCCCTCCACCTTGCTCTATAGGTCAAGGAGAGAAAGGGCACCAGGAGACCAGCAGCGGCCTGGACTGGGGCTCCCACCATGCAGGAGGAGCATGTGAGGCCGAGAGTGGGACCTGGACCAGAGCACCCCTCCCCTCACACACATGCCCATATACACACCACAAACACATGCACACCACGTGCCACAGATACACACACCACCTACCACACACATACACTACACATATGCATACCACACACATGCCACACACATACACATACCACACGCCACACAAATGTGCACCACATGCCACATATATACACCACACATACATACCACACATATACACCACACACATACATACCACACACATACGCCACACACATACATACACACACACACCACACACATACATACCACACACATACACCACTCACACACCATGTATATACACACCACACACATGCCCTGCATACATTTACACCACATGCCGCATATATACACCACATACACATACATAGCACACACACTCTCCACACACACACATATACACCACAGATGCTCCACTCGCACACATCATGTACACGCCACACACATATACTTATCACCCATACCACCTATGCACATATACATACCACATACCACACATCTAAACCACACACATTCTCCACTCACGTATACCACATATACACCACACATACCATGCACACACACCACACATGCAAACCACACAGCATACAAATATACCACACACACACACACATACACACCACACACACCACACACAACATGCACACATCAGGTATATACCACATGTACACACCATGTACATACAACATACCATGATACACACACACCATGTACACACACTACACACCAGTCATATACTACACACTACCACCAGTCATACACCATACACTGTACACATGCCACTTATATATACACCATGCACGTGTATACGCCATACACCACACACACATGAACACCATGTATTACATATCACATCACATTCTACACACACCATATACACTATGCATACACACCACACATATACAGCATAAACACGACACTTACACCACACACACAGCCCACATACTACAAACACATGCACACCACATATTACATACCACACACACCAAACATACCACATACCATCGTACACACTGCACACATTACACATCTTACAGTACACACACAGTACACCCCTCACACATACCATGTATATACCACACACACTCCACACAATCATACAGCACACACTCATACCACATATGCACTATACACATACCATTCACACACACCATGTACATATGATACACACACACATCACAGCACACACGACACCTTGCAAGGGCTGTGGGGTTGCTGGCTCAGTCTCCAGAGGACATTTCAACAGGGATCACTCTTCTGGGAATTCTCTCCCTACCTTTCCCCAGTTACCACTCTTCTCCTTGGGAGTGATCCATCAAGGGTGAACATTCTAGAATCCTTGAAGGGCCAATTGCACTTGCAAGCTATCATCTCTGATGAAAAACTCAGGGTGGGGTGGAGGTTGAGGCGGCAAGAGGGAGGGATTCTGGTTAAATATTCTGTTTATGCAGTTTTTAGTAGGAAATTAAGTCTGGGGTGCAAGGCCAATCTCTCAGGACAGCCAAAGTCTTCCTAAAGGAACCTAGCCATTAGTTGTACTTTTTACTTCCTCATGTTTGGTTTCTTTCTTTCTTTGTATTTCAGAGAAGTTGGGGATGTGGTAGCTGGAAACCCACATGAGGTATGCAGTCTTTTTGTATGCCAAACTCTGACACTGTTGCATAGCAGTCATCCCAGGTTTCTTATTGATTCCTCAGAATTCTTTATATATTAAGGATGGTAACTTCTTATTAGTTAGGGTCATAACATTTTCTAGTCCCCGTCTCTTCCTGATGAAGATGAGACAGAAGTAGCACTGGAACCCATGCTCTGTTATGTATCCCTATCCCCTGGTGGAGGTCTTAGCATCGTCTTCCACGTTTGATAAGCAGGACCCATAGATAGAGCACCCAGTGTACCTCAGCTGTTCTGTGCAGGAAAGAGCAGTCCATGGGAGAATAGATCCAGCCTCCTGCTCTTGGACTGACCTTCAGTCTTTTGGAGGACAAATGATGAAAGTATATGAGAAAGATGAAGAAAAGAACATGCTGGAAACCCATCTGAACTTGAGTATGTGTAGTACAAAGGGGTACTGGGGGAGTGCCTAGTCTGGGAAGGCCCCATGGAGGAGGTGAGTTCTGGGCAGATTTTGGAGGAAGAAATATGTGGGGTTTGACATGTGGGTTCACCGCCTCACTCCCTTTATGCCTCACTGTGTCTTCAATTTACTGTCCTTGCCCTCAGATGATGGGTGTGGCGGCTGATGGGTATGTTGGGTGCCACTGCTCCCTGAGGGCCATGCTGTGTCTGTGGCCTGGGGTGGAGGGGGACCACCTTCATGAGGGCAGAGGCCCAGCTTCCACCCCTCTGTTCAGTCTACCCAACAGCACTGATGTGTCTCTGGTTGCAGATGCCACATGGAGTGCCCCCAGGTGCTGGGCTTGGCATCTTTGGCTGAATGGATGTGGGGGCAGACATATTCTGTGACTTGACATGTGTCAAATTTACAAGCTCGTGTTTCTGCCGATGCATGAGATGGTGCCAAATAAGAATCCATCTTGCCCTGGTGTTTTGTGGTGTGAGTTTATCAGACAGAAAATGCATGCCCCATGTCTGTTTTTTAAAATTCCAGTTAGTTTCTGAACTGGTGTGACTGCTTCCCTGGGCACTGTAGTTCAGCCAGTGGTCAGCAGCGCCCCCTGCCTGAAGTCGGTGGCAATTACTGGCGCCAGAGGCCATTCTGTGCTTGTGGTTCTTGGCGATCTGAGCCGGGCAGAATTTTCCCTCCTACCCCTTGACTCAGTTGCTGATGCCAGCTCAGCCTTCTCACTGTCCCCAGGAGGATTTATCACTCGCTGTGGCATATCTTACTGTGGGTCCCAGGTATATTAGAAAGGCTGCAGTTTGCCAATGTAGAGTATGGAGCTGAACCTGAATTCAGGTGCTAAGAATTATCCTCTCTCATTTTTTTGGTGGGGAGGGTAGGATTCTCCTAAATAGAACGAAACGGATGCTAAACCCCCCTTGCACCAGGTTGGCAGGAGTTTAATCCTAGTCACTACTGGGGCTTTCGATCTCCACCTCCCATGATATTGGGGTTTTCTAAAGCCCCCAAGCAACAGGGAGTCTCTTCTGGTCATGGGTCCACATTGATCAGCTCACAGGTTTCTTTATGACTGACAGCTCTTAGACTTCTGTGGTCAGCATGAGGCCTGGAATCTTCAGTGAACTGGAGTCCTCAGGCCAGTCTTCTGAGGTACCAGGGCGTGGCTATGGAGTCATTCAAGGGTTCCCATATCCCAAGATCCTCTGGACTTTCAATGTCTTCTTGGTCTCAGGGAAACCTTGATTTTTCTTTTTAGGGCACCACTGTGCTGTGACTGACACACACACACACACATACACACACACACACCCTCCGCCCCACACAGATAATGTCCTCAAGGGATGCAGGACTTTACAGAAGACAGGAAGAGCTATTGCTTTCAGGAACTTCCATTTTCCTCGTTGCAGAAATCTTCAAGTCACGGACAGCTGGACATTCAAAGAGCATAATCACCTGCTCTGAATGAGGGAAGGAGAAATTACAGAGTGAATAAACACACTCTTGGAATTTAGCCGTGTTCACTTTGAGCGGGGTTGTAAAGACACTGCCAACATGTAATATAAGGAATAACAAGAAGAACATAATTCCTTGCTTTTGCCATGCTGCCATACCATTTGCAAAGTGTTTTCATATAGATTGTATCAGAGAAATAGAAAATTCCACTATAATAAGTTCCTTGAGAACAAAAACTATGCCTTGTTCACCATTGCATTCAGACACAGGTTCTGAACAGTTCCCACCATGTGCCAGGTGTTCAGTAAATCTATTTTTGAATGAACAAATTGTGAAGCACCACATTTGCAACCATATACACATGTTCTCCTCATTCCCAGCGTCCAAACATTCCCTTGTGTGCAATGATACCCACGAGAGATGGGGTGCCTGCTATGCACCTGTGTGTGTCCATATCCATATACTGTTTTGTTGTTTTTTATATGTAATTTTGTGCTTCCCCCCAGCATACTAGAATATTTACTCCATGTCTGGAATTTATGGACATCCCACAAGATTTTGGTACACTGTATTACATGATTGATATAATGTTGTTTTTTTCCTACAAAACCACTTTAAAGTCATAGATGTGTGATATGATGTGTTTATCATTTTTTTTCTAAAACTCTAGATGTGTCTTTAGATTTGCACATCTTCTATGTAAACAGCATGGTAGGCATTAATATCCTCATGTTACAGGCGAGGAAACAGCCCCAGAGAGACTAAGAGTAGTCAGATGCAGAGAGCATCTTCTCTGATGATCATTCCAGAGGGCGGTGAGCAGCAGATGGGATGGAGTTAAATCCTGGCTCCACTGTTTACTGGCTGTGTAATCTTAGCCTGTTACGTATCATTTAAAATGAAGTAACATTTAAAATTCCAGTTTGTCCATTGGTGACGTATGGACAGTAATCAGACGAACCTCACAGAGAAGTTGTGAATATTAAATGAAATAATCCATGTAAGGTACCTGACAGGTAGTAAGTACTCCACAAAGACAAGTATTATTATTAAGTGAGTATCCTTATAAGCGCAGCACCATCAGGCCATACTGGCCGTTCGTATTCATCTTAGTGACGGTTTTGAAAGAAACTGACCCAGCTTTCCAGAAACTTCATGTCATCTGGAAAGCTGTAGCTTTTCCATTCTGTCTGGTGGTGACAGTGGGCATTGTTCAATTTTGGGCAGAGCCCATTGTCACATCAGAAAGTCTCTGGGCAGAAGCATTCATATAATGGTTTGCAATTTCCAAAGGACTTTGACCCACATTAGCTCTCATTCAATTCTCAAAATGGCCCCATGAAAATGGTCTGGTTAAATCCATATCAGAGTGGAGGCCATGGATGTTCAGAGCCCCAAGATGGTGTTGAGTAAGGGGCCAGTCTGCTCTGTGAACTCCAGTCTCCTGGGTTCTAGTTCTGCTCTTTTTACTAGGCCATGTTCTCAACTACTTTTGAAATCATGTTGCTTGCTCATTGAGAATCTGATGAAAGCTAAGAATTTTTTTTTTTTTTTTTTTTTTCTGAGAAGAGGTCTCACTCTGTCACCCAGGCTGGAGTACAGTGGCACAATCTTGGCTCACTGCGGCCTCAACCTCCTGGGCCCAAGCAACCCTCCTGCCTCAGCCCCGCATGTAGATGTAGGACTACAGGTGTGTACCACTACACCCTACTAATTCTTGTATTTTTTGTAGAAATAGGGTTTCACCGTGTTGCCCAGGCTAGTGTCAAACTCCTGGGCTCACGTGACCTGCCCGCCTCAGCCTCCCAAAGTATTAGGATTTCAGGTGTGAGCCACCACGCCCGGCCAAAAATGCATTTAAATGTGACCCCAAGTTTTCAAGCAATTTTTGGAGTTCACAGACTCCCTGGAAAATTATCAGTGATTCCCTCAGGAGTCCATAGATTCAGACCAAGATTTTCTGGTGTCATTGTCATTTTCTGAAAGTGGTTCAGGTTGTAAACAGAAATTCAGGGTTGGTGGGGCTCACTCCCCCAAATCACTTCAAGAGGAAACTGCTAGGCCCCAGTGCTGCAGACCTGCTCATCCCTGCTCGACTGTAAGCTCCCTGGGGCCAGGACCTTGGATATCTCTTGGTTTAACACCATGTCCCCACTTAGCCCAAAGCCTGGCACACAGTAGATGCATCACAGACACTAATGGATAAAGGAATGGATTTTAAATCTTCATCTTTCATTCTCCTTGATGGTTCCCATTTTAACTTTGCAAATGTCCCTCCTTTTAGCCACATCCCAGTGAGGTGGATCAGGAAGATGGCCAGTTCAAGAGCCTGTTCGAGAAACTGGCAGGGAAGGTGAGTGGAGGGCAGACATGGCTTCCCAGGCGGGCAGGAGGATGTTCAAGAATGCCCAGGTCATTTCAATCATTATTCCCTGAGGTCTCCAGGAGTAAAAAGGATGAGACTGCAGGTCTCAGGGGCCCCCAGCTTCTGTGTCCATCACCATCCTGTCTTAAGATGGAGGACCTTTTCTGCATCGCTGGGGAATTGGTCCTGAGGTCACTTACCTGGCTGCGTGGACTGACTCTTGAGAAAACAGAACAGCCAGATCTCCAGGTCCTGCCAAAAGGCTTTCTGTTTGCAAATTGGCCCTGTCAGATGGGGGTCTCTCACTAAAAAGCAGGTACGGCAAAACCTTTCCAAATCAAGATCCTTCAGTGGGGGATTGCCCAGCCGAAGTGGAAGGCAGCTCAGCTAGCCTGGCCTGGGATTGGGGTGCAGGACTGGCCCTGTTCCCTGTCACTCTCATGTAGCCCTGCCTGCCCTCTGGGAGCCCAGTGGCCTGAGGAATCCAAGCTTTGCCTGGATGTGAGTGTAACTTGGGCACTTGGAGCAGAGGAAGAAGCAGCCCCTGGTCCTTCTCCCCCACCCTAGCTTAAGTTCACTTTGGTAGCAGCCCTGTGGGGGCCATAAGTCAAAGATAGCCGGGACTTGAAATGTCAAAACCGGCCCCATAAATACAGTGAATGTGTTGCTCTTTGGAGGATAATAAAGTGTGTGAAAAGGACCCTGGAGTGGAAAAAACAATGGTCTCCACCCCCCAGGGACGCTCAGGGCGACTTAAGGATAGAATAGAAGAAAAGGCATCAGAATCCCTTGCAGGAAATAAAACCTGAGAACAGTTCCTTTGCAAAGCCATTGAATAAAACCCTCGCAAAGATGAGCCAATTTATGTTTTAGATGGATTCACAGGTCGGTATTTTTGCTAACAAAACCTTGTTTCCTTAGCTGCCAAGGGGCCGTATTTTATTAAGAACATCAAGAAAGGTGAAAGGAAAGCTCGTATTTGCATAGTTTTTCATGCATCTTGTCTTGCTTTTCCGTCTGGCTATGTGGGTGGTATTGGCCACTCTCCTTGCTCTGCGGGTAAAGTGACCTGCACAGAGAGGTTGAGGAGCTGGCTGAGGGCACAAGTCCTCATGAGAGATGAGGTCAAGGTCCAAATGAAGACCCTTGACATCCCATTTCTTTCCTGGCAGGCTAATGGGGGTGGTCTTCTAGCCCCAGAAGCTTTTTAGAGGGGCCTCAGGTCTTTTTTTTTTTTTTTTTTTTTTTTTTGTGTTGGGGTCTTGTTCTTTCAACCAGGCTGGAGTGCAGTGGTGCAATTTTCGCTCACTGCAATCTCTGCCTCCTGGGTTCAAGCGATTCTCGTGCCTCAGCCTCCTGAGTAGCTGGGATTACAGGCGCCTGCCACCACGCCCAGCTAATTTTCGTATTTTTAGTAGAGATAGGGTTTCACCATGTTGGCCAGGCTGGTCTTGAACTCCAGAGCTCAGGTGATCCGCCCGCCTCAGCAGGAGCCACACGCCCACCCCAGGTCCTCAGGTCTTTTTATTGGGACTGACCACTCTGCTGGGTGAGGCCAGCTGTCCTCAGAGGAGACACTGCTTTGTGCAGCTCTTGCCTCTCTCACTTTCAGTAGAATTGCTGGAGCCTGGTTAGTGGGGGATGGGAAGATAGAAAATGACTCGGCTCCTGGCCAGGCGCGGTGGCCCACGCCTGTAATCCCAGCACTTTGGGAGGCCAAGGCGGGCAGATCACGAGGTCAAGAGATCAAGACCATCTTGGTCAACATGGTGAAACCCTGTCTCTACTAAAAATATAAAAATTAGCTGGGCATGGTGGTGTGTGCCTGTGGTCCCAGCTACAGGAGAGGCTGAGGCAGGAGAATTGCTTGAGCTCAGGAGACGGAGATTGTGGTGAGCTGAGATCGCGCCATTATGCTCCAGCCTAGGCAACAAGAGCAGAACTCCGTCTCAAAAAAAAAGAAAGAAAATGACTCGGCTAAAGTCACATGATGAATAAGGGCTGAGTTCAGACTGGGACCCAGACCTCAGCCCAGCACCCCTTCTCTGCCTTTCATTGGTCATCCTGCCTGAGATCTGTCTTCCATTTGAGAGTAAGGAATGACTCTGCCCCTGGCTCAGATGCACACAGAATATCCTGTTCTCTCAATCTCTGCCCCCAGTTTGAGATGGGCTCCTGTGTGAAATACCAACTCCTATAAGCGCAGTGGGGAAAACTGGCACTTTGGGGTGAACCAACCTTAGGTTTGCAAATCCGGCTCTGCCTCTTGGTAGCTACAAACCACAAGCAATTACATCACATGAAAATGACAAATGACATCGTTGTATGTATGCGGTGTTCAGCAGTTAACAAAATCATGGCTTCCTTAGCCAAAAGTGGTTGCAGGATTGCTCTGAGGGTTTAAGGATCTTCCACACTGCCTGTGGCACATCTGTGTTAATCCTATCACTGCCGTTCCTATTACTTTGTCCCTGTTCAAGCACGCCCTCTGAAAGGCAGCAGGAGCCTGGCACGGTGGCCTTCTGCCACGGTGTGTGCCACTCCTGGCACTAACACACCTCTGGCCAGGCTGCTGCGGTCCCCAGAGGAAGTGGAGAATTTGAGTTTTTAAAGATGTCACCTGCTTTTAAAATCACAGGGCCAGTGGACCTGGTGTCTGACTCTGAGGAAGTGCTGCATTAATTTGCTGTCTTGAAACAGCTTGTCAGGTCTGACGTGATTTGCATTTGGGTTCCCCTTTCCAGGATTCTGAGATCACCGCCAATGCACTCAAGATGCTTTTGAATGAGGCATTTTCCAAGCGTAAGTTCCTCCTTGGGGTCTTTGAGAAAGTCTGTAGGAGATGCTGGGGCAGGGTGAGGGAGGGGCAGGCGGGCATTGGGCTGGGAGAACCACACGTGGGAGAAAGGGTTTGGTGCTGACCCCAGGGGTCCTGATTCAGTCCAGCAAGACAAGAGGGCAGGAGGAGAGGCAGGAGAGGGGCAGGTGAGGATGGAGGTGAAGGCAGGGCTGGTGCTGGCGACCAGTCAGCCCCTGCAGGAACAAAGCCCCGTAGTGTCAAATGAAATTGCAGGCTGAGTCCCAGGAGAAAAAGAGCTGGGCTGGGATTGACTTAAGTGAAATTTTTTCACAAAATTAATAACTTGGATACCGTGGAAACCCCTGCAGATGAAAGATCTTGTTCTGTAGTTCATTTTGGGGGAAGGAGGGTGGAAGAGATGGTTCTGACTCTCCTAGACTATACTCAGTTCTCCATCTTCAGATTCTTGCAAGCCTCAGAGCTGTCAGAGGGTCAAATTTCACTCAGGAGGAAAGATTTGCATCTCCCCTCTGAGCCACAGCCCCACAGGAGGCTGCAGGATGCTGGTTTCTCTGCAGGTCCAGGAATGGGCCAGGTTAAGTCTTCCAGCTAGTGATGGGCTCTCATTCATTCACTGCAGCAGGACTAGGCTTGAGAATGCAGGAAGCAGGGGCTTGGCCCAGGGGCTAAGTCATACTGTTCCTGGGGAAGAACCCAGCATTGAGCAGGTGGACCCCCAGGGCTCAGATCACAGGCCCATCCCCTCTCCACACCACTCTTGCTCCTGCAGTTGTTGAAGAGTGGAGAGAAAGAGAGGGGGCTGCAGAGTCTTTGGCACCTGTCTTGGCTCCCTGGTGTTAGGAAGGTGAGGGTGGAGGCCAGGGACGGCTGGAGCTCCAGTGACATGCCTGCAATTTAGTAAGGAAAGATAGCAGCTATCATTGAGCAGCTGTGTGTTGTGATTAAAAGCTCAGGCTGTGGAGCCAGCTGGCCTGCATTTAACTCCTAGCTCTGCTCCCTTGCTCCCTACTGTTTGTGACTTTGAGCAAATCATATAACCTCTCTGGGACTCAGTTTCCTGATCTATTAAATGGGTACAGTGCTAGCATCTCCCACATGGAGTTATTTTGGTGAGGAGGTGTACAGTGCTTAGAGCAATACCTAGCCATATAAAGTTCGCTGTTTTATTGAGAACTTATCATTTATCAAGCCTAGGCTAAAAGTTTCTTTCTATTATCTCAGTTAATGCCCAACCAGTCTCTGGGACAAGTATGGTCATTGTTGCTATTATGATTATTTAAATTCCTCCTATGGAGGAGGAAATTAAAGCTCAGAGATATTCATTTGCTGACATCTGTGGCTTGTGGGGAGCCAAGCCAAGGTGCAGATGCTGTACTTTGGTGCTGGTGCTCGTCTGTCCTGTTTCCCAGGGTACCAGGAGGCTCAGGGGTATCTGTCCACAAGCCTGCCATGACGCTCTCTCCTTTTGGCAGAGACCAAGTTTGGATCCATACTCTTGGATGGTATCTTTGGGAGTCTTCTGCTGTGGAGGTTCTTTCCCTCACCTTCAAATGATCATGATTCCCACTCCCCTTTTCCATTTGAATCTTTAGGAACAGACATAAAATTCGATGGATTCAACATCAACACTTGCAGGGAAATGATCAGTCTGTTGGATGTATCCTTTAAATGTTAGATTTTTTTTTTTTCACTTTCATCCTGTTTTTAAAGACTCTTCCACCTTTTCCAGTTGGAAGGAAGGGAAAGGTAAAAAATGAGAAGGGGAATGAGCAGGCATGGAGCATATGTCAGGGATTGTACTTGAAGCCTCAAAGGAAAAATGTATCATATTGTGGATGTGCTTCAAAAAGCTTAAGATGATCTCTGTTTCACAGGTGAAGAAACCGAGGTGTGCAGTGTTTAGGTGACTTGTTTAAAATCATGTAATCTGGAGGTAGCAAGCATGGGGCATTCGTGCACCTCCTCCTTCCATGCTCTGTTCATAGCTTCGATCTTCCTCCTCCCCTACATTCCCACCCGCCCCCACCCTCCACCCTCTACCGCTTCCCGCTTCCCAAGCTCTCCCCATCACTGTCCGATCTTTGCTTCAGGATCTTAACATGGCTTGTGGAGAGCCACTACTGATAGTTTAGAATCATCGCATGAGATAAAACCTATTTGTTCTCTCTGATCTAATTTAACCCTAACTTGATATTGAAGAATGGTGTGTTAGGCTGTTTCAGCTGCTGTAACAGGAGACCATAAACTGAGTGGCTTATAAACAATAGAAATTTATTTCTCACTGTTCTGGAGGCTGAGAAGTCCAAGATCACGGTGCTGGTAGATTTTGTGGTGGATGAGGGCCAGCTTCCTAGTTCACAGATGGCATCTTCTTGCTGTAACTTCACATGGTAGAAGGGATGAGGGAGTTTCCTGGGGTTCCTTTTATAAGGGCATGAATTTCATTTATGAGGGTTCCACCCTCATGACCTAATTACCTCCCAAAGCCCCATCTCCTAATGACCTCACATGTGGATTGGGTTTTAGCATATGAATTTTGGGGGACAAAAACATTCAGTCTATAGCAAATAAGCAGTAGTTTTTGGGAAGAATGGAGAAGGTTAGGGCATTCTAGGTGGAAGGAACCTTCTAGGTGTGAAGGCACAGAGGGTGAATGGGTAATAGCACTTCATTAGAGCTTTGCCTACTGCATGCCAGGTTGCCATTCATCACAGTGCTGATGGTGAAGGCGATTTCTTTAAAAATTGGAGCCTTGGAGGGTTCTTCTCAGTTCCTTGGGGCCTCATCCACAATGAGCTCTGTCTGTTCATCCATTATGATCTTTACTGTGCGTTCTTTCATTAACTGTGGGAAGGGAGGAAGGATTTTCCTCTGGGTGGGTGTCATGCAGAGTAGTTCCAGATGACAGAGCGTGTGTGCCCACCTCTGTGTGGCTGATCTGCTATGGAGGGCTGATGCTATCTTTTGGCGTCTGAGCTTTAGGTGGCCACTTCCTGCATGAGGCTGGGGCTCTTTACCTCTCGTGTCTTTTCTCTGTGCTTAACAATTTAATTTGTGGACCACAAGGAACTGTTAAATGTTGATTCTCTTTGCTACAAATAGTTCCTTGGTTTCTGAATTATTCTCATCAAACCCTGCCTGTTGACTTCAGTTTAGATTTGTGAGTTGCCTTGTAATCTACCCACTCATTATTCCCAGTGGTATTTCTGTCTCTCACAGTCCAAGAGGAGTGTGACTGTTTGCCATACTTTAGGAGTTTTTGTTCCACAGTTTAGGTGGTGTGGGGCAGTGGTTCTGAATCAGCAGTAATACCCATGGAGTCCTTAAAAAAATAACAGCTCTGTTGAGATATTGTTTACATAACATACAATGTACCCATTTAAAGTAGATCAGTCAATGGCTTTTGCGTATTCAGAGTTGCGCAACCATCTTCACATAATTTAGAAATGATATCTAGCTGATGTGGCTATTGTTAGGATGAAATGAGATACGAGCATGTAGAGTACCTAGACCCGAGTGTTAGCTTCCTTTGCACACTGCTCTTCTGAGAGGTGTTAGTTGAATGATTAGTAAAGATTTGAAGGCTATGATGCATTCAGCACTCAGTGTGGAGCATAGATCCAAGAACACAGACTTTCTTAAAGGGTGAGGCTTACAAGACTTTTTGTTTGGCTAGTTAAAGGAGGTGAGAGTGATGGACTGTTTTAGAATTCTAATTATTTATTCAGAGATGGGGTCTCGTTATGCTTCCCAGGCTAAAGTGCAGTGGTTATGCACAGGCATGATCTGAGCTTACTGAAGCCTTGAACTCCTGGGATCAAGTGATCCCCCTGCCTCAGCCTCCTGAGTAGCTGGGGCTGTTTCAAAATTTTAACATTGGTGCTGTAACATACATACTGTTTATTGATTCGTTGTGATTGGTGAGAAAATTGTAGAGTCTCTAAGAGACTTAACTTTAGGAGTATAAGTGCAGTTCAAAACCAAATCCCTACTGACTAACACGAAATAGTGCTAAAACGAAATAGTTGTTGCACTTTGGGAGGCTGAGGTGGGCAGATCACTTGAGGTCAGGAGTTCAAGACCAGCCTGGCCAACATGGTGAAACCCCATCTCTACTAAAAATATATATATATGAAAAATTAGCCAGGTGTGGTGGTGGGTGCCTGTAATCCAAGCTACTTGGGAGGCTGAGGCAGGAGAGCTGCTTAAACCCAGGGGGTAGAGGTTGCAGTGAGCCGAGATCATGCCACTGCACTCTAGCCTGGGCAACAGAGAGAGATTCTGCCTCAAAAAAAAAAAAAAAAAATTGAGGAGTGAGTGTAAGTTGGACACAGAAAATCCCTCATGACACCTGCCTGTTTTGGCTATGTAGAGGCCTATGAGCAGATCCTGTGGCTTAGACTCCCAATCCCATGGTCCCTGGCTCCGATGGCTTTTCCCATAACGTTTTGACATTCCAACAAACTTAATTAGCTCAACGATCAGTCATAGAAAGGTAAATCTAGAAGCGAATTTACAGGTGATACAGCTCCACCCTGTAAATAAACTGGGATGATTAGGGTGTTCATGATATCACAGATTGGCCAGCTCACGGCTTGCTCTTTGTTCCTAGCTCTGTGCCTGGCCTCAGAGGAGGCTCTTGGTGCGTGTTTGACTTTTTAATCTTTATTTGCACCCGTTACCCACTGTCACCCTCACTGCTCTGCTTGCTGCAGACATGTAAGGTTCACTAAGGCCTTAAGGCACTCATGCAAGATCACAAGGAAAAGAAATCCATAAGGCATATAAAATTTGGACTCGATCATGTTGGCCTTTAACGTGCCTAGAGCAATGGAACGGGCACTCTGGGGCCGGTGGAATTCAAGATGCTCTGGCTGAAGATTCAGAAGTATCTGGTAACTCTTCTCTTCCTCCTGGGCATCCTCGGGGCTCTGGTCCCTCTCCTCTGTTCTAATTCTCCCTTACACTTATTCCTGGTCTACTGTAGTCTGACCACATCCTTAATCATGGTCAAAACTATTGAGACCTGGGCACATTGTTCAGGACAGAGCAAGAAGGCAATGAGAGACTCTCATGCCAACCACTGCCCTGAAAGCCTACTATTCAGACAGCAAAGGGGCCAGCACTGGCCAAGCTCTTAACCTTGCTCTGAATCCTTCTTGGGAGGAGTCAATAGGGTCTCTTTTGAATGCGTCCCTGGCCTTTTGAGGAAGCAGTGTGGTGGTGGGAGATGGTTCTAGCAGGGGCCATGAATGGTTGTTTTCTACTTGGGATTTCTTTCCTGCTTTAGGAGATCTATCGGGAAACTGATTATAACCACGCGGGTACCATGGATGCCCACGAGATGAGGACAGCCCTTAGGAAGGCAGGTGAGAACACATCCTGTAGACAGTGTCTTAGGATCCAGGTGTGCACATTGTAAATATTTATTCTCATGACGATGATTGTTAATGATCATCATTTGTAGCTATCTTATATAGGATATCAAGGCAACAACAGAGCTTTGTTGAGTAGCTTCCCTGTCCAGGAAGGGGAGAATATTGCTAGATTCCATACAGCATAATACTTTAGAATTTTTCCAAGATCTCTGCCTGTTACTGGAAAGGTGACGGCAATTACAGAGGACGGGGCTATGGAGATGGACAGGAACTGGACAGACAGGCAGCGCTCTCACCTTCTCTGCTTTGACTTGCTGATGTGACCCATGGCTGAGTTGGTGCTGGTGCTAGTGCTAGCTCTGGAATGAGGGTGACCCTGATGTGGAGCAGCTACAAGGAGAGGGATGGATGGCAGACACCTTCTGGAATCCCCTGGAGAAGGCAGTCAGGCCTGGTTTGCACAAGGGAGCCCCCAAGATGTCAGCTCCTTGAGTATTTATGGGAGACAGTGCTGAGTCCTCCACTCCACCTGTGACCCAGGCCCCCTCTGCCCTCAGGTTTCACCCTCAACAGCCAGGTGCAGCAGACCATTGCCCTGCGGTATGCATGCAGCAAGCTTGGCATCGACTTTGACAGCTTTGTGGCTTGTATGATCCGCCTGGAGACCCTCTTCAGTGAGTCATTCTGTCCTCCGACCCCATCCTATTAATCCCAAGGTGCAAGGCGGGCAGGGCCAAGGGGCCTTTAGAAACAGACATTGCCTTTAGGAGGCTGGGGGCCCAGAAAATAATAGACAGGGCTTCTGTAATGCTGGCACCTTGGGGGTGAGGGGCAGCTGAACCTGAAGGGGCTGAGGAAGTCCAGGTTGGCTAGACCCAGGACTGAGGCTGCCTGTTTTTGGAGATTACAAAGCTGCCATCCAGACTATCATGCAAATATAGTGTGCAGTCACTGGGCCAAGATGAATACATTTCAGTAACATTCTTAGATGGCGTTTAGTGTCTGTCTATATTTGATTTTCAATATGAATCATGTTGAGAACATGTGCCACCTTCCAGCAAAGAAATGGGGGGTGTTCTCTGGAAGGTGTTTTCCTGCCATCTTGGGCCTTGAGATTAGATATCTTATTAGGGAGGGATTTTTCCTTCCACTGAGGTTTCGTAGGTGTTATGTTCTAGTGGGTCAAGGTCAGTTAGCCAGAGACAAAGCTAAAGGACTGGATTACCCACAAGCAAGACAACCACCATCTGTTTGACAACACTGCACCCTGATAAAGTAATTGCACGTTTCTGATATAAAGCTTCTGAGGGTGGAGACACCAAAGGGACAATCTCTGCTGTCAATGGGGTTTGTCTGTTTCGACAGGGGCATCTGATCCCCCAAAAGCTCATTGTGTGCTCTGGATCTAGCTTTTTGAGGTCCCTGGGGCTAGGTGGGGCCTGGAGGGAGGGGTTGTAGGGGAAAGGGGAGTTCCCCAGGTGGGGATGGGGTAGACAGGCAGCTCTCTGACTGTTTCAAAGTCCAGGAACAGCCTTATCTAATTTTATTCCTTCTCTGTTTGGCATTTTAGAACTATTCAGGCTTCTGGACAAAGACAAGGATGGCATGGTGCAGCTCTCTCTGGCTGAGGTAAATGGCCTGAGGTCTGATGAACTGCTGCTTCATGGTGCTCTGAAATTCTTGGACCATGGAGTTGCTGAGTGGCGCTTATTCCTATTGACTGTCTTAGCTCCATGTGAATATCAAGTGCGTTTTGTGGTAGGCCTTGGTGGGAGGAAAGCAACTATTATGCAGTTTTCCAAACATTTTTGTTATTATCATTATCATTGTAAAGATAAAGCTACAGCTACATTTCAGATCATTTCAGAGATGCAAGCCCTTGTTAATTTAAATGGAGTTGTGGGTGGTGGGCGCCATATAAAGCGTCTGACTTCTAAGACCAGCTATCTTAGATGGACTTATGAAAAGACATAGGAAACAAAGATGAAATTGCCACAGGTAGAATGAAGATGCAAAATGAATGACTGTTTTTACTGTGTTCAAGTCACATAATGTTTTTGCAGAAAAAATCAGAGTACTTTCCCTGTGGACACTGCAGCCCTGTATGACAGAGGCCTTTACTGGCCAGAGGGGACAGCAGGAAGTGTGGAGATGTCTCCAGGATCCAGGCGGGGGAGGCATTGGCCTTTGACTTGCTTCTGAGGTGGCAGAAGTAGAGGGCCAGGTTATTGCTGTGTGTGCCCAGTTGGGTGTGCCTATCCGCTTCCTTTTCTTTAAAGCGGGAATGCCAGTGACCTCTTTCCTGTAGTCCAGGAAAGGCCTTCCTAGAAATAGACCTGTGGATTCCTACAGATACCTGGACAACAGTGTGGAACCTAAAATGGAATGTGGTTGTGTTGTACATAAAACATAAAATACACACACACATATATATATATACACACACACAAATATACACATATAGGCATATATATATACGCATATAGAAACAAATATATATAAAGGAAAAAATATATGCACATATATAGGAATCTATAGGAATATATATACACACAGACACATATTTATATATTGTGTGTACGTGTGTATGAATATATGTGCACAGATCTATTTTTGGAGCTTCCTTTGGGTCTAGAGCTTTTTTGAAGTCACATTTCTGTAGTGCCCTGGCTCAGGAGTTAGTGACTTAGCGAAGGCCTTCTTCGCTTCCCATGGTTGAGCAAGGCACTTACTGGAGAATGGAGATGAAAAGGTCATACTCATATGAGGCAGGAGAGCATCGATGGTGAAAGCACACCAGCTCCTGAGAAGCAAGAACTCAACCTTGTCTCTTTCCTTTGCAGTGGCTGTGCTGCGTGTTGGTCTGACCTGGGGTTTTGGACACAGTGACACTCTCTGCCCCACTGCTTGCCTCTTGTCACCCCTTCTCTACAATTTTGTGAACATTTATGCTCCAATGGGATTCACTGGTTGTTCATATTGTTCTTGATTGTTGTAATTCCCTGAGTTCCTGGCCTGTCTCATCAGAGCAGGCTGGAGAGCCCTGGGTCTCTTTCAGCAGCACTGAGCTCTGAGCTATGTAACCAACCGGGTGGGCCCAGTGGAGGGGAAGCAATCAATTAAAGCTGTGAGCCAGAATGGTTTCCGCCTTTCTCTGGCGATATGCTATCTGGGCTGAGTCCTGGGCTTTTTACGCTTTAGGAAACAAGATGTTCTCAGGAAATGGCACAATGCAAAACTGCTGAAAGATTAAAAAAAAAAGTGGGTTAATTTCTCAGAGGAGAGGCCTGCTGTGGACCAAAAGCTGCATCCGGAGTCCACCTTCGGGAAGGAGCCCAGGGGGATGCTGGGAGAACAGGGCTTTCTTCCTTATCTGCAGACAGGGGAGGCTGCTGGACTGTACTGAGGGGAATTCTTACCTGGCCAATAGCTAGAGGGGAAATACAGTTCGGGTTAGTTTTGCTCACAGGTGAACGCTGGCATCTTTGTTGTTGGTAAGACAATAGATGCCACAGCCACGTGGCCTAAGGGAGGGATGGGGACAGGGCTGGATGTTCTATGCAGGCTCTATGTCTGCATAGCTGGTTGTTCTGTGCAGACATGAAATATCAAGGAGAATACACGCACGCACGCACGCACGCACGCACGTACGCACGCACGAGCGTGCGCGTGCGTTGTCGCTGGATCAGCCGGATTGATTATGGATTGATTTTCTTCTTCTGGAAGTAGATCTAGATAAACGTTCCTCATAGGAATATGACTCCTAAATATGGCAAGCACCAGGTGGCTTCAGTGCTGCCTTTGAATCTCCGGAGAGCCGGCGGGGACGATGGGGCAGGCACTTCACTGAAGAGAAGAGGTAAAAGCTCTGGGCTCCCATCCCTCAGGGAGGGGCTCTGCCATACACCACTCGGGGGGGGGGGCTCTGTCGATATGATGGTGGAGAAAGGGATACAGTTGTTTTGGCAGCCTGTGGGTCCCAGAAGAAAAGGGGTCCTTCTTCGTCCAGTCAGGGATAGGAGGGAGGAGCTGTGCCAGGAGGACTCAGCAGGTGTGTGCCCGTTCACTCTAGGGCTGCGTGGAGAGGCCGTGCAGCCTGCTCCTGTGACCGGCTGATGTTATTCTCGTGCTGATTGACAAGGTGACCACGTACAGGTCTTCACTCTACCCACTGTAGAGCACTAAAGCCAATTCTCCATAAATAGAAAGTGCTATGTTATAACCAACTTGCAACAGGTAGTTTTATTTTGAAGCCCTGCAGAATTCAAGTACTTTAGGGCATAGTCTGGTAATAAATAAAATACTGTCTCATTACAAAACATCCTTTGCTTTCAGGGGCCTGGGTCTGAGGTAAGGACTGTCCTGGGGACTCCTTACCAATACAGCCCAAGAAGCAGGTCAAAGATGCTAACACTACAGTTTCCCTCTCAAACCCCTGAGAGTCAGCCTTATGCTTCCTTCTCCTCCCAGATGAAGGCAGTGGGAGATGATGCTTTTAGTGATGTCCTTGTCCTTGCCCCTAGATGTGGCTGCATCTCAGGAGAGCTGTGTGTCCCCTGGAATCCACTGCTCCACGGCGCCTGCACTTCCCCTCTGAGAGCTGGCACCACACTTTATTGCATTAACATGCTGACTTGCCTGCCTTCCCCGCTCCAGGTGGATAGTCTGTGGATGCAGAGATGGAGTTTTCCTTGTTATCCCAAAGCCTAGAACAGTGCCTGGCGCAAAGTAGACACTTAATGAATGTGAACTCTGTCCTTCCATTTGCAGAAGAGGAGGCTCTGTAGACTGTAGAGCAGGTGCCTCCCTGTGTTTTCCCAGCAGAGAGGATGTGTTTGTACTGGTCCCTCACAGATGACACAGCAGCCCCTGGCAGCAGAAGCCCCAGTGGGGACTGCCATTGATGTGCAGATTCATCAAAGCTGGGTCTCTGTTGGCAGGGAGCTGCTGAGGGTTGAAGGGCTGTGGAGCTCTGGGAGGACATGTGGCCCTGGCAGGGTCTCCTGAGCAGGTCCCTCCCCCAGCTTCTCCTCACCCTGACAATGCCAGGAGCAGAGGAGGCCATGACTGCCTCCCATGTCATGGGGTCTTTGATTTGTGCAGAGAAGCCCAGGGAGCTCTAATTGCCCCGTGGGAGTGGGGGAGGGGTGAAGTCAGCCTGGAGAGACAGGCACCGGGGTGTTCCTCTTCCTCTGTTGCACTCCCACCCTCCCTAGCTTCAGAGCCAATTCATATCACCTCTAAAAGGCACAGTTTGTTTCCTTATTAGTAAATAGGAAGAAACACAAGACACTGTGCAAGTCCCAGACTTATCTAAGACCTTCTGGAACACGGAAGCTGACATTTCAGTGAGAGGCATTTTGGGTGTCCTGAACATTCTGGGTAATTCCACCACAACAAGGCCATCTTCAGCGACCTCCATTCCCTGCTGAGAGTCATGGATTAGCTTGCTCCTCACATCCACCTGCCCAGGCAGGGCTTTTTGTAATTACGTGCAATCACAGAAGCAGTGGGGTTGGGAGAGCCAGGCAGACAGCCCATCCACTGGCAACAGGAGGCTCTTCCTGACCAAAGTCCTGACAACAGCCATGTCTCAGCAGCCCGGCTTTGTGGGGTTACGCACCAGCGCCCATCACAACTGGCAGACAGGCTCCCCGCCCACCTGGGTGGTCTCTCTCTGGCTCATTGGCTGGCTCCTCTCACGTACCAGCTGTTCTTCTGAGTCGGGGCAGGCTCAGCCTGTCAGCTTCTCCGAAGTCCAGCATCTCTGCAGCTTTGGATGTTCTAGTTCCCTCTGAGCCCGACCCCTGTCATTGCTCCTAGCTCAGGTTCTGGGATGTGGCCATTCCACCACACCCTAGCTCACCGCTTCCCTACTCCCCTCTCAGTCTCCCGTCCATATCTTCCATCCATATGTTAACCCTTTCCTTCAATTTATGTGTGGGCCTGGCTGACCTTGAGAGTTTACATCCTTGATGGTGAACAACCAAGACGCCCACTGACCTCTCCACTTCAGAAAAGATAGCGTCAGAAAGGGCCCACTTAGAGGTGGACCCCTCTGCCACCTTTTCTTTTCTCCCACCCCTCTTTGTTTTTGACACAGTCTCTTGATTTGTCACCCAGGCTGTAGTGTAGTGAGCGATCTCAGCTCACTGCAGTCTGTACCTCCTGGGCTCAAGCAATTCTCCTGCCCCAGCCTCCTGAATAGCTGGGACCACAGGCATGCACTACCACACCCAACTATTTTTTTGTATTTTTGGTAGAGACAGGGTTTCACCATGTTGCTCAGGCTGGTCTCGAACTCTGGAACTCAATAAATCTACCCACCTCAGCCTCCCAAACTGCTGGGGTTACAGGCCTAAGCCACCACGCCTGGCATAGGTTATAAGTGGTGTGACGATGGAGGACATCTACGTGTTGCAATAAGTGCTATGAGCTGAAGGTTTATGCCCCCACTCCTGAATTCATCCATTAAATTCTAAACCCCACTGTGAGGGTGTTTGGAGGCGGGGTCTTTGGGAGGTGATAAGGTCGGGTCCTCATGATGGGATTAGTGCCCTCTAGAAGGGTACAGGAGAGCTTCCTAGTCCCTTCCACCCTGTGAGGACACAGTGAGAAGACGGCCATCTATGAACCAGGAAGGGGACCCTCACAGACACCAGATCTGCCAATGCTTTGATCTTGGACTTCTCAGCCTTCGAAACTATGAGAACTAAATTTCTGTTGTTTATAAGCCACCCAGTTTACAGCATTTTGTTGCAGCAGCCAGAACGGACTAAGACAACAAGGATGAAGAGAAGCATCCTGGATGTCCTCTGCCTGTAATCAGGGCTGATATGCAGCATACCACGTCTGAGCTTATTCCATTTGGCTTTGGTCTTTGGAAAGGATAATGTTAGTCATTTACTAGTGGCAGTTGCATGGAGAAGGAGGGTTCACTCATGGGGGACAGGGTGATCATTTGGAGTTTGCAAGCTGTGAAGACAGATGTTGGCTCTTCACAATTTTGGAAGGGTTCACCAGTTAAGTATAGGACCTCATGGGGAATGGAAATAAGGCAGAGGCATGGTTCTGGCAGCTGAGTACCTTAAGGTCTGCGGAAGCCTGCCGATGCATCTCTCACTCCCTTGTTATATTCTGGACCAGAGCCAGGGGCTGCAGAGATGTGGGGAGATCCTTTCCTTAATCACCATCTGTTGACACTTTTCTTTTTCTTTGGGAAAACATTTATATTTATATCTTTATGTTAAACATTTTCATCTGTATATAAATTTTTTGTTTATTATGTACTTATCAAATTATATACACATTTCTGTATTTAGATATTATTTATTAATTTGAGACAAGGTCTTGCTCTGTTGCCCAGAGCTGGAGGGCAGTGGTGCCATCTCGGCTCACTGTAGCTTAGACCTCCTGGGCTCAAGCGATCCTTCCACCTCCGCCTCCCGAGTAGCTGGAACTGACTACAGCCATGTGCCATCACACCCAATTATTTAAAAACACTGTTTGTAAAGACACAGTCTCACTATGTTGTCCAGGCTAGTTTCCAACTCTTGGCCTGAAGTGATCCTCCCGCCTCGGCCTCTCAAAGTGCTGGGATTACAGGTGTGAGCCACCATGCCTGATCCAGATGTTACTTACGCAAATCTAATAGAAGTAAAAGAACGGTGTAGTGAACCCCATCATTATGAATTAGATTTTAATATTTTATCATATCTATTTTGTCATTTTTTGCTGGAGTAAATTGTACCCTGTATTATGCATGTCTAAGAAAGGACATTTTATGACACAACCACAGCACCATTCTCCAACCAAACAAAATTTGCAAGAATTCTTTAATCACATCTCATAACCAATCTATGTTCAAATTTCACTGATTGACTTCAAAATATATTCTTACGGTTGGTTTATTTGGATGAGGACTCAAAGAAGACCCATAGTTTGCACCTTTTAATCTAGAGCAATCCTCCCCTTTCTTCATGCCATTGAGTGATTAACAAATAATTGGACTTTTAAAAAAGGGCTCTGGCAATATGAATGTGTTCTACATGTTTCTCAGTCTAATTAAATGTCATGCAGAGTTCCCATTCCACCCAGCTTCCTCCCTCTCCCCAGGGCTATACAGAATGCTTTACAGGAAC